CCCCCCCCCCCCCCCCCCGGCTGGAGGGCAAAAGCTGCCCGGGTCAGCCTCGCTGCGGGCCTGCTTTGCTCCTTTGGACCCCAAATGGAGCCTCTCGACCTAGCCTTCCTCCCTTTTTTATTTTACTTTCGGATTTATGGAGGGGAAAATCTTGGGCATGTGTCTACTCTGAAGGAGACCTGCTCCCTATCTGAGCCTTGGCAAAGGCCAGAGCCCCCTCCTTGCTTCCCCGCGATCCAGTTCCCTGGTGGCGTGCACGAGAGTGAAAAGGCTCAAGAGCCATTCAGAGATGCGACCGGCCTCTTTGCCTGCATGACATTAAGGGCCACAATATTTGGAACCCCACAAATGTTCCCCCTTGATTTGGTTCCCCGGGAAGTCTGTTGCCAAATCTTTGTCTCTCTCGAGGTGTTGGTTGCCCCTTGAACTTGAGCTCAAAGTTCTCCTGGTTTTGCTTTTTAAATGAAGACACGAGAGCCTGAACCAGGGACGTGAACGCTCCTGACGCGTGTTGGTATCGTTGGTTGGCTCTTGCACTGATTTGCTGCAAAGAGTTGGGAATCCTCACTTGGGGGCTCTGCATCGAATGGTCCAGGCACAGATGTGCCCGCTGGGGGCTTGGTCTTCCTTTGTCCCCTCCTCCTCCTGCAGCTGGAACCAAATGGGCTCTTCTTCCACGCTTTCCGAGGCTCAGGTTGCGCAGCTGGGGGGGAGGGCAATGTGTGAGTGCTGGGGGAGCATCATGAAACTCCAAAGCCCCCCCGATGCCCTGCCCACTTGGGCCTTGCAAGACCTGCCGGCGTTCAAGGGAGAGGCCAGGAATGCTGAAGTTCCCGGGAGGGCAGAAAATGTGCGTTCTTTGGTTCGGAGTAATTTATGAATGCCAGGTATAGGGATTAGCTGCAAATGCCGTGCGTTGTTCGTTTGACGGTGCTGGCCGTTAGGGTTAGGGTTTCCAGGGGGCAGATGAGGCTGGAGCTGAAGCCATGCGACTCAGAGCCCCTCCCCCTGCTCCCCCTCCCGCATCGTGGGCTTTCTTTTAGGGAGAATCTCGCTCGCTCTTTGTCTTTCTCAAGGCTCTTCGGGGGCCCTCTCTGTCTCTCTGGCCCCCTAAACGTTCATCAGGGACAGCTTGGGTAGGGCATATTTGCAACAGCACAGAAATATGTTTTGAAAAATAACCTGAAGAGCAACTCGCCGCCCCAAAACACATGCCAAGCGAGAGCTGACTGTATCGCCCGGCCGTCGGCCCGTCCCTGATGCAGAGCAAGGAGATTCAGAGAAACGGAGCGGAGTACCCAGAAGCTGGGCAAAGGAGACTGGCCAGCTGGCTGTCCCCACGCCGCCCTTCAGTGCAGGGCCCCCTGCAATATTTGGAATGGCTGTTGCGCATGTCGCGGTTGTTGCCTGTCTGGTCGAGTTAGCTTCCCAGTGGGGAGGGGGAGAAACCGGGGGGCAGCTGGTGCTTTGGCTCAGAAGATAGGCCCGTCCCCTTGTGCTGTCCCCTTGTGGCTGCCCGTCGTCCTCTGCCAGCAGGGCCTTGCACTTACTGGGGATGATGGGAGTTGTCATCCAGGAAGGGAGCAGTGTTGGCAAAGCCAGAGATTTTCCCTGCCCCTCTCCGTGGGCTGTAATCTTGCCGCCTTGGGGGGGGGGGCTGAGTGGCTTAAAACGTGCTGAGGATCCCCCGCACCGGGGGCCTGCATCCGACTCCCGGAAGCTGGCCGTGCCCCCTCTGGGTCTTTGGGATCGCCGGCCTGGACCTCCCCCGAAGCCCCACGGGTTTGAACGCCCTCCCGGCAGAGGGTCTCCAGCAACAGGGCAGCCCCTCCTTGGAGACCCTTGTTTTTTAAAAGACTCGAAAGGAGGGCAAAGGAGCAGAGTTTCTTCAGCCTGAGCTCTGCTGGGGTGGATTTCGGAGGTGCTGCTGGGAAGGGAGATGGTTGCAGTCGAGCCCCTTCAACGGCGCTTTGGAGTCCTCAAAGAAGTTGAGCTGGGCGCAGTGGGGGAAAGGCGGGTTTCTGAGGGGTTGAGGAAGGACAGGGGAGTTTTGGGCTAGGCCGTGGCTGCGGGGTGGAGCGTCAACCGAACTCAATTGGGGGGAGGGCAGGTTCTCACTCCCTTGGGCATCCAGAGGTGCCGCGTGTGTGCAGACTGCGCCTCCTGCCCTCCTAATGCATCTGCGCCACTGAAAATGGTTGCCATCTCCCCATCTCTGCTGCTGCGGATGCTCGCAGCCCTCCTTCCTCATGCGTTTAGACCAGTGTTTCTCAACCTTGGCCACTTCAAGATGTGTGGACTTCACCCCCCAGAATTCCCCAGCCAGCCATGTTGAAGCCCACACATCTTGAAGTGGCCAAGGTTGAGAAACACTGATTTAGACTGTTTGGTGCAGCAGGAAACAGGCTTGGAAGTTAGGAACGGCAGGGCCTGATTAGTATCTGGACAGAAGACCACTAGGAGATCCCAGGGTGGTAGGGAAGACTGAGAGGTGGAAGGCACATCCTGGAAGCAGGTGATGGTAAACCACTTCCATATTGCTCCCAAGAAAAGGGCACGGAGATGTCCGTGGAGTCCCCGGGGGGCAAGCTCAGTGGAGCCTTGACCGCAAGCCTTAAACTCTGCCCTTTGTCTCTGTTTCCGTCCGATGCTGTTGTGAGTCACGCGTGTCCTGGCCTTGCACCGGAATGGCACCTCCTCTGCGGGCAAGCGTTGCGGCCTCGACAGCGCCCCTCCCCCCCCACTGGCCTTCAGTTGCTGCGCCACAAATGACAGAGGCAGGTGCTCCGGGGGGGTCCCTCGAAGGGACGCAAACATGCAGGAAGCAGAGGGAGGGTGGTGCAAAGGCTTGTTCCCCTTTGGGCCAACTTTGCATGGGGGGGCGGCATCCTTGTGTCCTCGAGCAGCCCGGACGGGGCCCATCCTCAAACCAGCCTTGCCGTGGGGGGCAGGTCTCTCGCAGCGCAGATGCTGCCTCCTGGCCCAAGGGGATCCTTGGGCTGGGAACCATATGCCTGGAGAGCCCTGCCCTGCCCTGCCCTGCCCTGCCCGCCCAGGGCCGACTCCTCCCCAGCTGGAGGGAGCGAGGGCAGAGGCGGCCTTCCCGGCCCTGTTCCTCTGCCCTGGTAACCCTTCCCCCATTGCTCCTTGTCTGGGCAAAGGCTCCTCGAGGAGGAAATTGCTCGAATTCCTCTTCGGTTGCAGGCGCTCGTGTGTGCTTTGGGGGGGGGGTGCTCCTGGCGCAGAGCAGGGAGGTCACCCGTTTGGGAGGGGCGTTTCTGGGCAGATTCAGAGCGGAGGCAAAGTTGATCCGTCCTGACGGTCACGGGCCTGCTCTCTGTGGCGAGCTGGAAAGGCTGCCCGCCTTGTTAGGCTGCCCGTTGGCTCTTTGATCCCAAATTCTGGCTCCTGAAGCAAAAGGGTTCCCTGCCCAGCGCCCCCTCCTGCCCCTCGGTAGCCAGGCAGATGCTTCTTAGAAGCCAAGAGAAGTGGTGCCAGCGCACCGGCCTTTCTCTGTTCCCGGTGCCTGATTGTTCTAGGCTCGGCTGCCCTGGATAGGGAGGCTCCCTTTGGGTGGGGAGTGGCTGTGCGACCCTTTCGTACCCCTGCAGTGATGGGCATTGGGGTCCCCTAGCCGACAGCGACCGTCGCCAGCGATGGCCTTTGGGGGAAGAGCCGGTGCGGAGCAAGCGCGCTGCTCCTGCTGGCAGCCTCCTGGCATTTCTCTGGAGTGAATCCTGGAAGGTTCCTTCCTAAATCCGCGCCTTCCTCAGAACGGGAACCATGTGCCCTTCGCAGGAAAGAACCGGGGCGAGTGGAGGCCGTGTGGTTCGCGGCAAAACTCCCAGTTTCCAGCCTTGATACCTTCAGGCGAGAGGCCGGACGGGGCCCCGCAAGGAGGGTGAGGGGCCTCAGGTCGGGCGCCGGCCCCCAGCCGGTGCTCTTCGCGCTGGCTTGGGTTCCCACAGTCCCTGCCAGCAGGGGGGCCGGAATCCCCACGCTTGGAGGCTCCAGACGGGAAGGCGATGCCAGATGTTGACTCTGGACATTCCTGCGGAGCAGGGGACCGGCCCCCTCTGCAAGAGGCCTCCGTGCCTCGGCCGGGCCAGTTGGCCTCGCTCCTGAGGACGGCTGGGCTGGGCTCCCTTTGCAGAGAGGCGTTTCCCTGAATGGTCTTCTCAGAGGAAAAGCGGTGGTTGGGGAGGGGGCCGTGGTTCTTCCTATCCGTGGAGCCCCAGGGGTAATGGCGCACTGTGGGAGGAGAGGCAGGCCGCCCCCCAGGCAGGGTTTGCTTCTGAGCTTTCTTTGGCGTCTGACCGAGCGGCGTTTCTGGGGCCAAGCACCCCCGAGAGAGAAGCAGGGCGTGCGCGGGGGTGGCCGCAGGGGGAGGGTGGCTTTCCTCGGGCCTCCCTATCCCGGCCTGAATGCTCTGGGTGGAAAAGGGCCGTTCTGCTCAGCCCTCGTTCTAGAGGCTCCGAGGGGCCCGCTTTCTTTTCATCGGGGCCTTCAAATATAACAAGTTAGTGTAGTTCATCTCGCTGGACAAGCGGCTTATCAGTATTTTATAAAGATGCTCTCTCTTCCTCCTGCTTTTCCTTTTGCGTAGCAAACCTGTAAACCTCCCATTTTCCTGAGGGAAATCCCTCCCTCCCATCCATCCATCGCCATTCTGCCTGCAATCTATGGCTCTGCGTTTTTTGTTTTTTGTTTTGTTAACGTTTTTTAATTACAAAAAAAGGGAAAAAATACACGAAAGTGCTTTGATACAAAAGTGAAAAAACACAACGACGCAAGTTAATAGACCGTAACGGTGCACGGTTCCGATTCCGGGCGTGCTTGCCCCACAGACAGTGCTCGTCTCGTGGCCGTCGGTGGCTCGGCTGTGCTCGCGAGCGCTGAAGGCGTTTTGCCTCCTTCCTCCGCAGGTCGAACCGGGACTGCCAGATCGACCAGCACCACCGCAACCAATGCCAATATTGCCGGCTGAAGAAGTGCTTCCGCGTCGGCATGAGGAAAGAAGGTGAGGCCGGCCGGCTGGAGGCCTTGGGGGCCCAGGAGAGGGGCCCCATCAGGGGACGCTCCCCGGCCGGGTGGTGGAAGAGGATCGGGTGCCCGAGGCAGGCCGGGGCTCAGGCAGAGCCATGCTGGTGGCTGGACCCCTCCCTTGGGCCTGTCCTGCCCTGGAGGGTCAGCCGGGTAACTCCCCACCTGGAAGCTGCAGTTCCAGTCCCTGCCAGAAGGGGGCAGCCGTTTCGCCGACCAGGCACGAGGGGAGATGCTGCCTTTGGGGGGATCTTCCCGTGGGCCTCCCCAGAGCTGCAGTAATGGGGGGTGTCTGTGTAGCTCGGGGTAGAATTGTCGGGTTCCGCAGAACCCCCTCCTCGGCCCCCTGCCCACGTGAAAACCGCTCTGCCGCATCCCCCTGAACGTTATGCAGGAGCGCCCGGCCCCCAAAGGTGAGAGGAGCAGGCGCCAACCGGCGAGGTCCTGCCTTTGCTAACTGGGCAAGCCGGAGCAAGAATCCTGCTCTCGCCGCTCCTGAAGGAATGAAGTTAGACTGGCTGAGGGATGCTCAGCCAGCCCTTCCTTGGGGAAAGATCCCCCCTCCACTGGAAGAGAGCGGCTACCAGCTTAGCTGTCCGAAGGCAAGAGTGCACTGGCCTCTTTGCTGTGGGGCCCGGTGCCCGGGGACATGCCCCTCGCTCAGCTGTGCCTCCGCTCCAGGTGCCCATGGAGGGACTGACCGTCGTTGGCACAAGTGCGTTACAGGATCAGGCCAAGCAGCCCGTTGCACACTAGCTGACCGGGGGTCCAGAGGGAGCCCAGAAGCTGGTTGCGGGCGGTGCAGTTTGCTGGAGAGGCAAAAGAGGAGTTCTCAGAAGGGGCTGACCCCGCCAGGCGGATCTAGGTTGGGCCGATCTGGGAGGAGCCTGTAGCAGGGGCTGTGTCCCCCCAGGCATGAGATGCGCGGCCCTGCCTTAACCCCCTCCCTCAGACTGCAGATCTCTAATGGCCGAATGCAATAGAGTTAATTTGCTTCTGCCAAGCTTATTGAAGTGCCAAGTTGCTCAACTTGATGGTGACGGCATGGGGGCGGGGGATGTCCCCAGGCTGACCGCCTGTCCTCCTGCCATTGCTGGGGTCGGGGACCCATTAGCGAGCAACTGGTTGGGGTGCTGGGCTCACTACAGGGCAGAGTCACAGCTGCCAAACCAGGGCGGCAAACCAGTGGGGAATTGTGACCTACGAGGGGTGCTCTGGGGCCCAGAGTTTGGCCTCCAGCAGGGAAGTAAACTAGAAAATGCAAATGAAGTGGGTGGAAGTCGAATCCATGCCTGGGGTCGTGCCTTTCCTTGCTGCTCCCCAGATTTTCTGCCTGCAGCCCTCCCACTGGGGGCACCAGGTTGCAGAAGCCAGTGCAAAGATCATTCCAAGCATGAACCAGAGAGGGGGAACAGGGTTCTTCTCATCGTAGAGCCCCCTTGCTTAGGAGCACTTTACCTTTGAGGGCCAGATGCTCGGGAAAGGCCGTGGCGAGAGGCATGGCATGGCCCGTGGGGCCTCGTTCAGAGAGGGACGGAGTTGCCCAGCTCCTGCGTGGAGGGACCGGTTGAGCAGGCAGTGCTTGAAGGGCACAACCCCCTGGCGGCAGCAGGAGTCAGAGAAGCACCTGCAGGGCTGGGGGGGGCTCACATGACCCAGCTGTGGCAAAGGTCACAGCTGGAAAACAAGGCCGAGTTGGGGAAAACTCCACATTGCTGGCCTGCCTGGCATCTTGGCACATTTCCCGGGCAAACGCAGGCTTTCTCCAACTGATGGTGAATCGGGCCAAAGGGCACCTTCCCAGCCTGCAGAAACTGCCCCTGCTTGGAGGCCTGCCCACCCCGTGCTGACCTGCCCGTCTTTCCTCCCCAGCCGTCCAAAGAGGCCGGATCCCCCCCAGCCACGCGAGCGCCAGCCCCAACGCCGTGCATAGCGGGGACTACTACAACGGGCAGCCGGTCTCGGAACTGATCTCCCAGCTGCTGCGGGCCGAGCCCTACCCCACCGCCCGCTTCGGCTCCCAGTACGCCCAGCAGGGCAGCGTGATGGGCATTGACAACATCTGCGAGCTGGCGGCCCGGCTGCTCTTCAGCACGGTGGAGTGGGCGCGCAACATCCCCTTCTTCCCGGACCTGCCCGTCTCGGACCAGGTGGCCCTGCTGCGGCTGAGCTGGAGCGAGCTCTTCGTCCTGAACGCCGCCCAGTCTGCCCTGCCGCTGCACATGGCCCCCTTGCTGGCGGCCGCCGGCTTCCATGCCGCCCCCATGTCTGCCGACCGCGTGGTCTCCTTCATGGACCAGATCCGCATCTTCCAGGACCAGGTGGAGAAGCTCAACCGGCTGCAGGTGGACTCGGCAGAGTACAGCTGCCTCAAAGCCATCGCTCTCTTCACGCCAGGTGAGTCCCCCTCCCCCAGAAGGCCTTGACGCGCCAAGGAGGAAACGGGACCTGTGCCAGACTCTGCCCTCTCCAAGTAAACCAGTTTGACCTGGCTGGCACTTCGGAGCCAGGATATCTGGAAATTGCACAGATTTAGCATGTGCTAAATCAACTCCTGGGGCGGGACAATATCTTCTCTCCCCCTCACTTTGCCTCCCACTTATTATCCTCACCTGCACCATTCTCCGTTCCCCAGTTCTGTTCCTAAGCCAGCACAACAGATTTTCTCTTTTAGCCATGATGGTTTTTCCATTAAATTTTGTCCGGACCAGGGAGTGGAAAGGCCAAAGCAATAACGGTTGGACACAAAACCAGGAAGGCTTCAGTCTGACCTCAACCCTGTAAAAGCCAAAGCCGTGGGATCGTTTAAGGGGGCAGCGATCCAGGGGGGAAGACGGAGATCCCCCGGAGAAGGTTGAGAGAGGCAAAGTTTTGAGCGGCCTTCCGGGGGCATTTCATGCGCAGAACGCGCCCTGCCTCCCCCCCATCTGCGCAGCTTCAGGGCGGCCTGGACCGAGCGGGGCTCTTCCTGCAAGGGATCTCCGTTCTGGAGCCTGCGGGACTCGCTGCCCTCGGATGAGGCGGTGATGCCAAATGGACAGAGAGGCAGGGAAGCAGCAGGGCTTGAAAAAAGGTGGTAGGTCTGGCCTCATACGCCAATTCCTGCTCAGAAGCAACGGGAACGCTCCCAGCAGTAACCCACGCCGCCCCCGTGTGAAACCGACTCGGTGGTTCCGCCCCCGCTCTGCATCTGGGGGCCCTTCCCTCCGTGGACCCTTCTTTCTTCAGGAAGCATTACATCTTGCTCCCTGCCCCCCCACCCCGCCCCACCTTCCAGGCTGGGCTAGAATTAATCATAGAATTACCGAGATGCCCCCTTGGGCTGGGGGGGCTTGCCAGGCGTTCGAGGAAGAAGCAGCCGAGGGCAAAGCAGAAGGAACGTGGGGGACTATTGCAACCTGGCCGCGTGGGACCACGCCATTTGACCCTGTGCCGTTGGTTCTTCCTCTGTTGTAAGATGCAACAGCGTAGAAGACGGGGCTGCTCAGAACAGAACAGGACAGCTAGTAGATGTAACAACAGCCTCAGAGTTTTGAAGCCTTCCGCGCCGACCGCACAATTGTCGATGACATTGACCAGTGCAGGGGAGAGCTGAGAAGCGCCAGGATGCGGCTGTTGACGGGGCAGCCCTAACTCCGCTGAAGGACGCGATTTCCTCTCCCCCAATTATGGAGGGGCAGTCTGGAGAGGCTTGTCCAGCTTAGCCCTCTGGGAGAGAAAGTAGATTTCCCGCCACCCCACTTAGGGATGGGGGTCTGCAGAGGTGTGCCAGACGTTGGCTCTGTGGCCAGACCCGACACTTTCATTGAAACTCAGCTGAGAAGCAGTAAAGCTGGTCCCCGGCCTCGCCCTCCTTTGCATCAAGAGACGGTCCTCCTCCGGACGGTCCCCAGAACAGGGCCAGTCTCAAAGGGGGGCTTTCCAGCCAACACACGCCCCCCCCATCACCTGGGAATAAGACTGGTCAGGGTTCGCCTTGAAGGGCGCCTTCCGCTGGCCAAGGAGGCTCTGGGCACGATCTGCCTTTGCCCCCTGCAAGGAACAGGAGGCTCCGAAGTGCAGCCCGGCTCTCCGCGAGGGGGAAAGATCCATTTCTACCCCATGGTCAGTCAAAGGCATCGCTTGACCCAGATGGAATCGAGCCTGGCGGGGCTGCGTGGGAAGCCCCAGGCAGGACCGAAGGCTCAGGCCGCTCGGACGGCAGGGATGGACGAGTGAGGCTGGGATGATGCGCTCAGGCCGTGAGCCTTGCCCAAGGCGCTCAGGCCTCGGCTGCCAGGCCCA